ATTACTATTTATAAGCACTAATGCACTGTAAGTGCCATCACAAAAGACAATATGTGCATGAACTATCATTTAGTATTGCTTTTAATCAGGGATCTGTTAGATTTAGCATGTGGATCATTCCCATTGCATCAAATGCAGTGTGTTTCACAGTAGACTACAGTTGTTGGCTGAAATTTGGCAACAGCGCACCCAGCTAACACCCAGCCTCAGAGGCAAATGGCACTTGAGTCATTTCCGCTGCACTTGCCGCCATCGAAGTTTGGCAACGTCGCAGGTGAACGTTTGAAAAAATGATATATACATAAAAGCATTAAATGTAAATAATTCGTTGATAATTCAAATAAATTTTGGGACTCGCTGTGCGGTCGCATCTATAACCAGGTGTGGGTCTCTCTAGGGTTTCCTGCCTGCAATTACATATTGAGCACATGTTAGCCCGACTTTTATTATTTTTGCGATTTTTATTACTAAATTATCGTTATCTTTGCTGTTCTGCACAAAATCAGAAATGAGCTGAAACCGCAACTTAAAGAAAAGTACGAGTAACGCGAGAAACTGACGAATAAATAAACATAAGAAAAACAGCGCCCAGATCAAGTCTAGTCAGCGTTGTCTAGTCGCACAGTCCGATCTAAACCAGTCGAGGCGTTGCGGTCGGCGTGGCCGAGTAACCAGCAACTAGCAACGAACGGCAACCACAGCTAACAGCTAACAACTAATCAAAACAACAACAACAACAACAACATCAGAGTGCATTGACGTTTATTTTGCATGAGACTGCACCACCATCAACACCACCACCACCACCACCACCAGCACCAGCACCACTACAACCAGCAGCAGCAGCAGCTGCTCCTAAAGCTCAACCCATCTCAGCTGGCTCCACTGCTGCCCCCTCCGACGCCCCTTCAGCAAACAGCTCTACACTTGCATGGCCCAGGCAAGTCTTCTAGCCAAGCGAGTATCGTTTTTCTTTATTTTTGAAGAATCGGCAAATTGCAGAAAACGAGATTTTTCTTTCGATTCGGCGCGGCGTCGAGTACATTGCACTTCGAGCTGCAGTCGCAGCTTCAGCTCGATTCGATCAATGTGTTCGTTTCACTCGAGCTGAGGATCGGTGCCGAACACAGGTACGATTCAGGCAGCAATGGCGCTGCTGCACAGTGGTACCAACTGCATTTGCACCCCAGCAATTTATTGTAGAATACACATGTTTCCAGTGATATTCGAACAATCAAATCTCACTTTTCTCACTGAGTAGCCCTCAACATCGCTTGGAGTTGAGGCGACTTGGGTCGCTTCTAACAACAGTTGAATTGTAAATATAAGGCAGAAGCTCTCACTCCTCCATTTAATAGGCTCAAAGTATAAATGTAAAAATTCAAATACAGTGTTCCACATTCCTTGCACAAGTTATGTGTATGAATACTTAACACGACCAAAATCAAGCTGTATTGGATTGTAAGTGATTGTAGCACTGTGCCAGGTCTGTCTCCGTTTTGGCACGTAGTTTGTTGGCTCGGCTCGGTCGTTCGTTGTCGTTTTCGTCGTCGTTGTTGTTGTTAATGTTGTTATTGTTGTTGTCGTTATTGTCGTCTTGAAACTGGGTCAATCGCTGCTTGGGCTGTTGTCTACGTATTTATTTAGTTTTGTGTGTTGTCTTGCATCTCGTTGTCTGGTTCGACTGGATTTGGATGGACAACTGGTTAGAGGCTCGTCGGTCGGCAGGGGATGGGGAGGATGGGGATGTCGAATAGTGTAAATTGCAAACTTTTTATTGCCTTTGGATTTGCCTATTTCTTTTTGCGACTCGGCTGACAGCTCAGCTCGGCTTGGCTTAGCTCGCCGAGAGAAATACCAGAAAGAAGACAACTTCAAATTTAACTAGACTCCATTCTCAGAGAACTTCTCAGCTTGTACTTCCGTTGCTGTTGTCGTTGCCGTTGTCGTTGGCTTTCGGCGACCCGACTTGGCTCTCAGGCTGGGTTTCGTTTAATTGCAAGTGGCATAACGGTTAAACGCACTTTGGCCGGTTTGGTCACATTGGCAGGCCGCGCTTCAAAGTCTAGAGGTAAGAACGTGTTGCTCTGCACAGAATGCCGGCCGGCTCGTTCGGCCCAACCGGTTTCTCTGTTCTTCTGGCTGTGTTGTGGTTCTTCCTCTTCTATTTCCGCGTATGCTGGCTTGTGTTCTGTTCTCTCAGGTTCTTGGCTGCTTTCGTGTGGGGTTCTCTTTTATGTCACGAGACCGCTTACGGGGCTCCACTCGGTGGGCGGGAAGGCAGTTTAGGAAGGTCTTAAGTGCGTTCAAGTTCTGCAGAATTTGTGGCATATGTCTGAGATTTAGTTAATGGAAAAGTTTATACGACTGTCAGATCGCCCGAAGATACTATATATTTTTCTAGCTCGACTTGTTAAGGGTAAATGATAAATATAATCTGTTTTATCGAAAAAAGGCACGGGCCTAACAAAATTGAACACAAATGAGATAAATGTGAGGAAGTATTTGTGATCATTTAGTTTAAATTATAATATGTGTATTTGGGCATTGAATATTTGCAACCTGAGAAATAAACAAAATAAAATTATAAGAAGTAACAAAAATATTTGTAATTTTTTAACACATTTAATTCTTTGAATTAGTATAAACTTGTTGAGTTGGTCACCCCAAAGCTTTTGTTTATAAAAGCTTTCAGTGAGATGCAAGGCTTGTGCAATGGCCAACTGAAGCGCCATCTATTGGATAAATATTCCATTATTCAAAGTTGAATTAATTTCCAATGATGTGGCAACTCTATAAGTAACCTGGTTGTAAACTTGACTAAGAAGATGTTTAAGAGTTTGCCAAGAACTTAAGATGCTCCTATAATCACCAACCATATAAACACATTGACTGACTCTAGAGAAAAATATAACCATTTCATATGGATATTTGAACTATTCGAGCCATATAATACAGAGCGGAGCAAATACAAATGATATAATATAATTTAGTGCCATTTCATACGTCGAGTTGAATTATGGAAATATTAGTTAATGTGTGTATGTATGTATGTATGTATATACATACATAAATTTAAAAAAAAAAAAAAAAAAAAAAAACAGTTGAATTTTTTTTTTTGCAAATTTAATTTTTATTGAAAAGTTTTTGCAGTATACTTTATTAATAATGTTTGAGTTAATTACTTGGGTACTTTAAAGACTACGAGAGAGTTACAGCACAGGAATACAAGAGAAAAACTTATGGGCTATGAATGATACAAATGTTAACCAGATATTCAAATTATGTTCGCTTTTCATTTTGTTTTTCTTTCGTATTGTTGTTTGAGTAGGATCGATCTTTGGGTGTTTCAAGTACTCTAAATATTGCCATTGAGTCCAAAACTTTTACCTGTTCGTCAGTCTTCGGTGCAATTCCAAATAGTTTCTTCATTAATGAGAAAATTGTGCACTACCTCCCTTTAAATTTAAGCTTTAATATTTGAAATTAAATACGATACTAAACGTTGCAATTGTATATAAATAATTATGCATGTATAACTGTTGTCGAGTCCTAAATTAGCGTGAAGAGTGGGCTGAAAGCAGATGAACAGTGAATGAGCTGTGAAGGAGTAGAATAAGAGAAGAAAATGGCTGCGAGAAATGCGATAGACGTGCCTCCGTGTAAAGTGTAGCGTAGAATGAACAGTAGAGTGAATGAGACGAAAGAGTGAGGGCGACAGAGATAGTCGAAGAAAGTGAGTGAAACAGGTGAATCGTGAATGGTGAATGGTAAATGAACGACTGAGTGAATGATTGAATGGGTTGCGTATGATTGGGTGTGAAAGGAGTGCTTGGGAGCATTTCCGGCTGATGGTGCTTCGATTGCTGTCAAACTACGCTTGACATTTCCTGTATCAGTATGTATGTATGTATTCGCGTGTGCGGGTGTGTGTGTGTGTCTCGATGTATGTGTGTATTGTTGTCGCGTCCTCAGAGTATGTGGCAGTGCTTGGCGCGCAGCTGCTGGCGCACGGAGCGAAGCAGCGCGGGCTGGCCACCAATCAGAAGACGCTCACGCACGCACCTCATTCCTCTGGCCACACCATTAAATACAATCGCCTTCGACCTCCTCCTGGTTAACATCGGGGTCGAACTCGTCGTCGGCGGTGGCCTCCTGGTACTGCTGGTACTCGGAGACCAGGTCGTTCATGTTGCTCTCCGCCTCGGTGAACTCCATCTCGTCCATGCCCTCGCCGGTGTACCAGTGGAGGAAGGCCTTGCGGCGGAACATGGCGGAGAACTGCTCGGAGATGCGCTTGAACAGCTCCTGGATGGCGGTGGTGTTGCCAATGAAGGTCGAGGACATCTTCAGCCCCTTGGGCGGGATGTCGCAGACGGCGGTCTTCACGTTGTTCGGGATCCACTCGACGAAGTACGAGCTGTTCTTGTTCTGCACGGCGAGCATCTGCTCATCCACTTCCTTCATGGACATGCGTCCGCGGAAGACGGCGGCCACGGTCAGGTAGCGTCCGTGGCGCGGGTCGCAGGCGGCCATCATGTTCTTGGCGTCGAACATCTGCTGGGTAAGCTCCGGGACGGTCAGGGCGCGATACTGCTGCGACCCGCGCGAGGTCAGCGGAGCGAAGCCGGGCATGAAGAAGTGCAGGCGCGGGAATGGAACCATGTTCACAGCGAGCTTGCGCAGATCGGCGTTCAGCTGGCCGGGGAAGCGCAGGCAGGTGGTGACGCCGGACATGGTCAGCGAGACGAGGTGGTTGAGGTCGCCGTAGCTTGGGTTCGAGACCTTCAGCGTGCGGAAGCAGATGTCGTAGAGCGCCTCGTTGTCGATGCAGTACGTCTCGTCTGTGTTCTCCACTAGCTGGTGGATGGACAAGGTGGCGTTGTAGGGCTCCACCACCGTGTCGGACACCTTTGGCGATGGCACCACCGAGTAGGTGTTCATTATGCGATCCGGGTACTCCTCACGAATCTTCGATATGAGCAGGGTTCCCATGCCGGAGCCAGTACCGCCGCCCAACGAATGCGTCAGTTGGAAACCCTAGAGAACAAATGTGAATCGGTGAGTAACAGCTGGATGGAGTGGATGGGAATTGATAGGGACTGATCGAGATTGATTGCAATTATCGACGCATTACTAGACTCTCAGCACTGTCAGCAGGTGGGGAGTCCTCCGAATACTATCAAAGTCGCTTACCTGAAGACAGTCGCAATTCTCGCACTCTTTGCGGACTACATCGAGCACATTGTCAACCAGCTCGGCACCCTCTGTGTAGTGTCCCTTGGCCCAGTTGTTGCCGGCGCCCGATTGGCCAAACACGAAGTTGTCCGGCCGGAAGAGCTGGCCGTACGGGCCGGAACGCACCGACTCCATGGTGCCCGGCTCCAGATCCAGAAGAATGGCGCGCGGCACATACTTGCCGCCCGAGGAGCGACTCACAGCTGAGGGAATGCGAATGGGCGTGAGTCAGCAATCAGAGGAAGACGAATTGGCAAGACCAAGAGACCAAGACCAAGACCAAGACCAAGACCAAGACCAAGACCAAAAAAACTTACCAGATGCTTCATTGTAGTAGACGCTGACACGCTCCAGCTGCAGGTCGCTGTCGCCCACATAGATGCCATTGCTGTCGATGCCGTGCTCCTCCGAAATGATCTCCCAGAACTGAAATCGAATGGTAAGATATTATGTTTAATGACATTTCCCATGTATTTATTGGCTCTAAGATTAATGTGCCAGATCATGCGCCCTAGACATGATCGCAAATCTCGAATTCGAGCTGTCATTGTAAATAATCATCGGGTGGCTCCCAGACACACGCGATGTCTGTGACACCTCCCGGCCTTATGGGAATGATTCTGAGGAAACGATCGTGTTTATAACAATTTAATGGCTTTGGCCTGTGCCATCATAAAAGAGATATAAGAGCCTCTGCAGCTATTTTTATGTGCGCCGTGAAGTTCGGGGGGAGGGCTCTCAAATTCGTATGTATATATAAATAAACAGGAACGACTATATATTGTGATTAGTCGTAGGAGAGTCAATTGCATTCAACGAAAATAATGGAGTTTCCCAGTGAATAATTTGAATAACAAATTTGACATATCCTTATTATTTTCAAATCTTGTAGTTTTTAAAAATTAATTGTTGGGCTAAAAACAAAGTCCCAAACTGTATCTCAATGTCGATAATCGATGCATTATCACTTTTAGATAAACGTTTTGGGATCTGTTGTACTCGAATTGAGGCTCCTCTTTATGCAGGTAGCGTCAATATTAGCTCCATCAATCATTGGTTATCAGCTACTGCTCTTTTGGTTTGCAGCTCGATAAGGAGTCGGGTTGATATTGTTAATCTCTAAATTAACTGTTGAGAATTCTCAGTATACATTTATCTCTGAGTGCAGTCAGTCATATGTCAACCTCCTGGCTTTTGGCTCTGTGGCGTTTCTCAAATAGAATTACGACCTCTGTGCTCGAGTGAGAGAGAGCGAGGCGTGTGTGTGTGTGTGAGCCCACCCAGCCATGTCAGAGTTCGTGTTGCCAGCCGCAGAAACCGCCCAGAGCAACACCAACAACAACCACAATAACAACAACAACAACAAGTATACAAATTACTAGAAAGTGTCTATTTTTCAGTTGGTTTTCCCTGTATTGCGACAATGTGACAACGAAGTAGGCGCAACTGCGGCGCCATAAAGTTTTTTGTTTCTTCTTCTTTTTGTTGTTCGGTTTTGGGCTTAAAAAAGAAAGAAAAAAGCGATGGGACAGCCTCGAAAGTGAGACACATCGTACACTTCTCGGGCCGAAAATTTATGTTTGGTTCAGCCATCAGAGCCGTCAGAGCTAGCGTCGGATCTCTGCAACATGCCCTGATTTAGTGCTAAATTTAAAGAGGAACGAACAACACACGGCCGACGCATGCAGTCAGAAATAGTTTTCCGACTTGGCTTTCCTCTGAAAATACACTCGCATCCATAGCAGCCGCACGTACTTTTTAGTTGCGTGTACACACATACATATATGTATGTATGTGTATTTCAGTGCAGCGTGGCGCGGCATGGGACACTTCCAATTCTGAATGCCTGCCGCACGACAAGCGCTCCTGGGGTACAACGTGCATCCAATGCGCAACCTTACGCAGTGAAAGTGTTAAAAATAGCTCTGATTGAGGCGTTGCGCGTTGCGCGTTGGCTGTGGGCACTGGCCAGAAAGCAACACAGACAGATACAGATACAGATACAGATACAAATGTATCTATTGCTGCTGCTGAGTCACAGCTGAACTGCAGGCCAACGACCCAGGCGGCGACTCGCAGTTACTAAATTAACCCAGCAGACGCCAGTCATAGACATCGACAACATCATTAGGAGGCAGCCGCTCGCTCGCTGGCATGCCAGGCAAATAAAACAGATACATGCACACATACTCGCACACGTTCACACACACAAAGATTCATTCTCATTAATTGCGGAAGCGCGCTGCAAATGCTCTGCAGCGTTTAACAGCGAGCGAGTCTGAGATTTCGGCTATTTTGACCAAAGATGGGTCGCAATATTGTTCGCTGGTTGCTGGCCTGGGTCGGGCTCTGCCCAAGAGATTCGAGCGCTCAAGCGCAGCGCATTAATCGTCAATGCAATGGGCTTTCAATACCAAAGTTGTGATTCCAATGCGATTCTAATTGGACGCCAATTGGAGTGCACACCAAAAGGAAAATAAACAAATCTACAGCGCGGAAACAATAAAAATGTTATCGCTTGAAGTGGCATCTGCTGCTCATTCCCACCTCCCTGCTACCTCCTCCTTGCTCCTTTTCCGTGCCCAGTTTCCTTTTCTTTTTCCAATCTCTACTGAGATTGTCCTTTTGCCACTTGAACTTGACGTGTGCCCCGCTGGCCGTGCAGCAGCCATTAGACTCAACAATCCCGGGGCACAGTTTACGGCCTTCTCCGATCTAAACATTGGCAGCCAATGCCTGCGCTTGCGCCTGCGCCTGATCTGCCTCTGCCTCTGCCTCTGTCTCTGCCTCTGCGTCTCTACTTTGCTTTTGTTTATTTGAAAGGCAGCTCAACTGCTGTACAATCTCCGCGAGATCATCAAATTTAATTGGAGTGTGTCCGTTGCAATTATGAGGCTTGCAGCGGCAGCGGTTGTAACAAAAAAGCGCAGTTCATATGCCGGACTAGTGGCTCCAAACAAACAACGAAATCATGCAACTCGCTTGAGGCAGCAACAAAAATAAATTAGCACACAAAACTGTTGAAGTGAAAAGCCGATTTTCATGTCTTCCACTCTTTAGCCCTCTTTCTCCCTCCCTCTCTCTGTCCCACTCTGGCCGAGCGATCGCTTTACTTTCAACTGACTTTTCTATACATTTTTCTTTTTGGTTTTCCTTCTTGATGCTGCCGTTGATAGTTGCGGGAAATTGCTTTTTTCGGTTAACAGCAGTGATTGCTTGGGGAAATGGACTGGCAGTCCGCTCTCCGCAGTCCACCGTCCGCAGCCAGGTCCAGCTGCGTAAATTGCTTTCGGCTGCGTCATACTCCTGGGCTGCCTCCGATTTGAGACAACAAATTTGTGAGAACGTGAACTGAGTCACTCAAAGAGCTTTGCAGACCGGTCTTATCAGCGGCACGATCGTGCTCGAAAGGTGGGGAAAAACAATTATGAAGCGCACAAAAGAAAATGTGGAAAATTCTTAGGTATTAAGTGTGATAAATTATCGCTCCCGCGAGTAGCTGTCCACAGAAAGAAGATCGAATTGGAAATCACGAACCTTAAACAATTTCGTGAACGTGCTGCCTAATCCATTTCATTCTACTACTACTGAGTTTAAGGACTTATCTAATAACTATAATACTCAGTTAATAGCTAAAAGCAACTTTATTTGAGTGTTTTCGATTGTTATTATTATTATATGATTATGATTCATTTATTTCTTTTCATATGGCCAATGAGAACCTTTTCATATTGTAAAAACAATCTCTTCAATAATGAACAAAATAAATACTTATATTTTAAAAATTTGCGATAATTCCAATTGAATTTATTTTCATACACACTCTTTTTATATACAAGTCCAAATTCATGTTCCACGTTGTTTGTTGGAAATTAAAGGATATATTTTTTAATATTGATGATACATATGTATATGTATATGTATGTATACTACAGTAAAATCGGGAGAAAGCATGAAAAGCGTGAGGCATTTGTCATAGGCTGATTAGAATGAATCGCAAGTTAATTATAGATGGCCACATGTGAAACGTGATGGTGATGAATGAAAAATTCTACAGAGTTTCAATTGAATGCTCAAAATGGATTTGGCTTTTCTTTAATAACTAATTTGGCTTAGACTCTATTAGCCGGCTAGATTGTACAGTTAGTTTGTGATCTGTTCTTTGCCTTTGTGTAGCTGCTCGGCTGTTTCTTCTACAAAATATGTAGAGAGTATTAGGAGAATCGTAGTTTATTGCACTGCTTCGCCGTCTCCTGCTGGCACTTGCACATGCCACTTGCCACTTGCCACTTGCCGCTTGCAACTTGCAACTTGCAACTAGCAACAGTGCTGCAAGCAGATAGAAGCTTAGAGACTTCCAATTAGTTGTAAATGCTGCTGCGCCCATTGCAGAACCATGCCACCTTGCCCCCGCTCCCGCACGCCCCGCACTGCTCATGCGATCAGCTGCCGACGCCCTCATTAAGTGTTGCATGTCTGTAGCTGTAGCTGCAGCTTTGGCTGGCCGTCTTTCAGTCTGTGCCACTTGAAATCACTCGGGCATGAACTTTGGAGCCGCAGCCAGTCTGAAGTCTGACGACTGGAGACTGTCTTCTTGAGTCCGTCTGCGGATCGCCTGCAGCTTTTGCTTCGGCCATGGCTTTTCCGGCAGCCCTTGAAAAATATGCAAAAATGCATTTTCACATGTTGCCAGCCGTTGGGGCATCAAAGAACATTCTGGCAGCCGCCTCGCCCCATTGCTGCCCAGCTGCCCAACAGGCTTGTCTTATTTTTCAAGTCAGACGCGATAATAAATCTTTCTCAAGAAACACAAAAAACAAAAACTGAGGAGGTCTTCAGTTTGTTGACTCTGCCAGTGCGCACACACATGCATACACATACACACATACACATACACGTACATCATGTATGCATAAATATGAGATTTATGAAATTATAATTTGTGCTTATTATATATAGGCTTGCTGATAATTTAAAATGCATTTATCGTCTGCTTGCGGAAACTCGGAGCTCGCCGCAACGCATACGGGCCCCTATCCTGTAACAGGCCAATCCTTGGGCACGCCCTCCTTCACCCCAGCCCCTCCCCCTCCCACTCACCCTGCACACAAGCAGTTAACATATTGATTCTGAGTCATTTCCTTTGTGCACTTGTGCGGTTTGCCTGATGCCCCATTCCCGATTGCGATTCGAAACTCAAATTTAAACAGAAATGTGGGTAGGGTTAGAAGTAGCTGCCGCACCGCCTGCTGCTCAGTGAGTGTTGTTGGTTGTTTGTCGTTTGCTGCTTGTTGCCACACATTCGAAGTGTCCACTCAGCTGTTTTGCTCATATGAATATACACATTCAGTTGTATATAGTATGAGTATGTATGTGTGTATATATGCACGAATCTCTTGGGTAATGTGAAACCAGCGGTTCGCTCAAATTACCAAGTGGGCTACGACGCGTCGTCTGCTTTAGATAAACAGTCTACGTTTCTCATTCATGGGTAAGTACACACACACGCACACACACACACACACACACACACACACACACACGCGGACACATATAAAACAGAAGTACACATATGTGTATTTGTATATGAATAGAGGTCCATAAAAAGCATTACTATGCCGAATTTCTGAGAACTAAAACTGTTTAGCGTTAAATTAAGCGACACTGAAGCCCCTGCCCGGGCCCCACCTCCAACCCAGTTGGAGCCATTTCCCACAAAGCGCAAAAAACCTCAATTGAGTCATTTGGAGAATAAGAAGAAGTAAAATAATAAAAATAGTACGACAGAAAAAAACAACGTTTGCTTATCTTTGTGCTTGGGCTTACTTTAATTTGACTGTGTTTATAGTTTAATCATCGCTTGATTGGCTTCTATCCGTGCTCGTGCAACGCCGAGTGACACACTTTTCCCTCTCTTTCTATTCTGGTTCTGCTTGCGAATTGCGCCAGAGCATTGACATTGATTTTGCCCCTGCTGCACACACACACACACTGGAGTTCGAAAAACCGGTTGCAAGTTGCCAAAAAAAAAGTTACAACAACAACCACAACTGCAGTAGTAGAAGCTGAGGTAGAGGCAGCGGTAGCTGCAGAGGCGGAGGCTCAAAGTGCGTTGTGGCACGTTCGTTGCTTGGATCGCCCGATCGGTTGGCTATATTGACTAACTGACCGAGGTTGCCCATTGCACAAAGTAATTGACGGCGGGGCAGCTAATTGCTCTGCGTCCCTTTAATTGCCAGCATTGCAGTTGATTAACTGCTGATTAACTAGTTAGCTGCCGCACACAGCGCTGGTTAACGAGGCGGTGCAACTCAATTGTTCCTAGCCATATGGTATCTGCGATCTGTGATTTGATCGATATGTGTGTGCTGGGCTGGCCATATGGCAGGCCACGCCCTGCTTAATACCGTTAAGCACATTTGATTTGCATTCATATGGACAGCTGTTGGCTAATGGAAACTTTCCAGCGATTTTCCGCCGATTTTAGTAACTGGAACTTCGCATTGGGCTTTCGTCGTTTCGGTTACAGCTCGAATGTTGCTTCAGCTGTGAGCCGATTTTCGCAAAAAAAGCTTTTTAGAAAGTTTATTAAGTACGAAGACTCTCATTAATCTTGAATTATGTTATATGTATATGTTTCCCTTTGACACCGTACTGCACAGCACTACACTACACTCGACTACACAATATGGACTTTATAATTTTGTTTGCGTGCTGGATTTTTACACCCGAAAGAAATGTGAGAAAATAGTTTATTATAATTTGTATTTTATGCATATTATATTATAAATATTTCACTAAATTAACAAATTTCCCCAGCTTGAGCTGTTGCCTCACTCTCCCATGTATCTTTCAAAATAATTAATAGCATATGTGTATCTTTAATTATTTGTAACTTTTTCCCTAACTCTTTACAGTTTTTTCAATTAATAACAAGAGCTTTTCATAAAAAGAATCTTTTTAGCTCCCATGAATTAAAATGTTTCTCCCTCTCTGTGGCACCTAAATGGCATATTTGTGTGCACCTCGTGCGGTTGTTGCCGCTGCTAGAGGAAAGCCCAGCAAAGCGAGAAGATACAACCGCAATGATAGTGCGAGGGGTTTTCGGCATCTGTAAAATGCAGCGAAAGAAGAGCGACGAGTGGAAGATGGGGCAGAAGAGGAGGAGACGGCGGCGGGAAAAGCGCTTCAAAGAAACAATTGCAGTAATGCCCCATATTAGAGCGGTATAATTCCGGCTCATTTATTAAAGGGGCCGAGTCCGGCTCTCTCGACTACTATAATCACAATGGATCTGGGCTTGCAACAAAGGGCATATCGAGTGCCTGACAAACCCAAACAAATTTCATTTTCTTCGCTACGTCGCGTCGCTCATTTATTTTGTATTTGATTTTAGCTTTTTTAATTTTTTATTCTTTTCTTTATGTTTATTCGCTGGCTGTTTTTTTTTTTTTTTTGAAATTTTTTTTATTTATTTATTTTTTATATTTTTTGTGTTTTTTTTTGTGTGTTAATTTTCTTTTGCTTTAATTGCGCTGAATCCGCTGTAAAAGGCGGCTTCGACGTCAACGCGTCGACTCTGAGCTGCGATCAATTTGGAAACTCATTGAAAAACGTTTTCGGGCAATGTGCATAAATTAGCTGCGCCACATAAATACAAAAAAGAAAAAAAACCAAGTCAGAAAAAAAAATATCAAAAAATAAAAAGAAAAATTGACAAAAAAAGAAAAAAAATGGCAACAAGTAAAAACGATCAAGCACGGCGAGACTTACCTTAGCGCCAATCTGGTTGCCGCACTGTCCAGCCTGCAGATGCACAATTTCCCTCATTTTGATTTATGGGGCTTTGATGTAACTATTCACCAAATTCTGAGAGCGTGGGACGCAGCAAGTCGCAGTGGGAGTGGCCGGAACAACTTCTTAGGAAGTGAATGGGCCTGGACCTCAAGAGCTGAACCTGAATGTGGATTTGCCGATCTTTCTTACGTCTGTGTAAGCCTGTGTGTGTGCCTTTCTTGTGCCTGTATTTGTGTTTGTGTTCGTGTTCGTGTCTGGTGGTGTGCACTGATTACTCTCACTGTCTGAGCTCTGAAAGGGGGGCCGGTGCAGAACGCGCTACTTAACCGCACAACGCACAAAACTCAACTGATCGCAGTGCGACTGCCTCGGAGTCAGGTCCCCAGCTGAAGTCCACTGCCCAACCCAACGGACGTCGCTACGACGTCGACAGCGGCGTCGTGCTGCTTCGGCTGACTGGTGGAAGTTGCGACTAGAGCGAGACGGCATTTATATACACACACACTGACTGCACACTCGTGCCATGTTCTTTGTTTGGAACCACGGCAAAGTTTGCTTTTATTTCTATAAGTACATTGAGTGAATTTTTGTTTTGTTTTTTTTTTTGTTTTTTTTTGTTTTAGCTAAGTTTAGTTTTTCAGTTGAAAAAAGAAAAGAGCTCGTAGGAGTTGAAAGTAATATATTTGGGTATTCATTGAAGCACCCAACCTTAAAAAGTTAATTATTTCTCCAGATGAATTTAATAATTTTGCGGCTTATTTGTTTAGTACGATATTGAGATAGCCATAAAGAGTGGGCTGAATCTGTTTATACGGCGCGTACTGTATCTCACAAAGAAAATCGAGAAGAGCGATTGAGATAGAGAATGCGAGTCATTCATATGAGCTCTGAAGAAAAGCGCTCACATGATACATTAAAGTGTTAAAAGAAAATATGTAGCTTTGCTTTAATTTTGTCTATCTATCTCTTTCTGGAGCACTTTCGACAGGAATATAAGTTAATTTAATATTTTCATCCAGTTCATATTTTAGATATATGTCCGGGCGTTGTGTTTCTCATTCTTGTTTTCCATTTTAGCTGCGCGTACCAACGAATTCCCGGTGTGTCGCTAAACTCTTTATAAATGCTCTTTCTCGTTCAATGGTCTTTGACCAAGTGTGATCTCGTTTATCAAAAGCATAGCGACTCTGTGTAAAGGACTTAGCTAGTCGTCTCTCTCCCACCCAATGACACCCGGGAAGTTCAGCAACAGCTATTGTTGTCTCTCTCTTAGTAACAGTGCATCCTTTAATTGCACTACTAAGAAGTAACAGTGCATCCTTTAATTGCACTATAATACTAAATCAATCGATTAACACGAACTGCCAGTCTTTCTCAACCTACTGCATCAAAAACTAAAATTGCAACTTCAACAACAGTCTAATATCGCACTGATACGACATATACTTAAATACAAGATGAATTAAGAGATGAATCATTGTAGAACTAGATGAGAGGATCAGTGATATCAGCTAGGATACCATAACTGATAACAGAGTGGACAAGAACAAAGAGAGGAATGTATGTACATACATATATGGAATGAATAAGATAATACATATGTATATGCGACAAGCAGATTCGATTGTTATAGTATTGCCGTTCTTTGTCAGCGTGACGTTAGTGACGATTCGAGCGCTACACAGAAGGTAGGAGAAATGTTCATTCATTCATTCATTAAGGTAYATAATCAGTTTATTAAGCTTAGAGAGGGTATCTGTGGCGTACCTTAATGCCTACTAATGCTGCTAACCTTTGGTCACTTTGCTTGTTTATTATGGCAGTTTCAATCAGTCGAACACGACAGGCCGAATGCCTCCATCTACTTGAAAATGAATACTCGAGTATCTGTGACTCCATCCCGTGTCTCTTTGGCTATGTGTGTGTGTGCTGTTCCCTTCGCCTTTCCATGTTTTAAGTTCACTAATTTTCACACTGTCAGCAGCAACAGCACCGTCTTTGGCGTTCTAATTTTATCAGCGCAGCATGCTCAGGTATGCCACACACACATGGATTCTCCTCCTCCTGCTCCTGCTGTCTCTCTCTTTCTCAATCTCTGGACTTCCACAATAGTGTCACCGCAGTCATTAGGAGCACTGGGGGCTTTTCCCCATGTGCTTTCGGTTTCACTTTGCAGAGGCATGGAGACTGCAGTCGACTCGCGTCTATTTTTGGTTGCACTTCGGTTCGTTTCGTGGCACTCGACGCTCTGCCCATGTATTTCCTTGGAAATCAATCAATGGCCCTCCGGCCAGTTCGGATAATTTGTAGTCGCTTTGCCTTCTAATTACTTTCGAGTTGAAAGGCACTCACTGCCTTCAGAGCGGCACTTTCGACGCTTTTCAAGTGATTTCCCTAAGGTCACATCAGGAGGCTGTTGAAGCGTGGTGCTTGAGAGTGGCTAAATTTAAATGGACCACAAAACAATCTCGAGCTTCCGGGCATGAATAGTTATAAAATGTTATACATATATTCTCATCAGGCACAACAAACTAAACACTCCCATACTCCCCTACTCACTCCACCCGCATTCAAGTTCCCGCCTAGGTCTATGTCTAGGTCCTTGTCAGCACAAACAGCACGAGCGTATACAAAAGTATTTTAGCCGACAATTTTTGGTTTGCCCAATAAGGGCGGACTGGTAGCATTACCAAAACAGACGGACTCATGGAAAATTTCTATTGTGGGTCAACTGTGGGTGAAAAATTTTTTAAAGATTAATACACAGAACATTTCTTTATGTCATATGAGCTACAACAGCCAATTGCTGGTACGCTCAACTTGTCCGTTCGTTTGTTTACTCAATACTAACATAGGTTTATCGACTTTACCGATAATTGATCTCGATACGGCTCTTCATTCGCCGATAATGATTAAAGCTACAAATTTGCTAAAAAATGACAAATATGATAAGTAATGACAAATATACTAATCATCACTAACCAGAGAACGTGTCAATAATTCCATAAAAATAACTTATTAAAATAAAAACAAGTAAGAAGGCTCCAGTCGAGACTGCTCGACTAGGAGATACCCTGAACCCTCTATGCTGATATTCTAATTATTCTGCACCTCTTTTATGCAC